CAAAGAGGAGGTGAGAGGGACACGTGATTCGGGCCCCGAGTCTCCGAGAAGGATCTGGAAAGGGGCGTGGCCAAGGGTGGAGCCTGACCACGCCGCAGCCCATAAAGGCCGAGTCCCGAAAATGATCGGGGCTGTCCATCTCTGGGAAGGAATCCTTCGTCTTCGATCCTGGGTCCTCGGTCTCTGGTCTTCGCGCACGTGGACCAGGCAGCGTGTTAGCTGTCCTGGTCCAATTAGTAGTTATCCCATCCAATATGTATATAGTCAGCGGTGGTGGTCAACACCCTAAGTCATTATCCTGCGAATGTTAACAGTTTCCCCGTGGTATTAGTTAATAAACGTGTTGCCTCCAAGATCAAGTGTGCGCCTCAATCGAACCCACTGCACCTTCATCGAATTGTGTGTGTAAGAATTGATTTCGGTCATATACTGTACAATTATATTTTTCATGACATTTGCAGCCACCAGTGGTGCTGCATTCATCATAGCATTAAAACAGTAATATAGGTAGGAACAACAGTTCCACACTGCACACAAGGTAATGTCTGTCGTGCATAGCCCCTCCCAAACATGTACGCTCTCGGATTGGTTGAAGTGTGTCACGTGACCGCGAGCTTTCTGTCGTGCACGAATGCGCTGTCCAACCAAGTTCCTAGCTGCCCACTCCTAAAGAACGTGTTTATTGTACTGTATTGCCATTTCTTGTAAATCTAGCAGACCAGCAGCTTTTGGAGTATCATAAATCTCAAACGTGTAAACTACCAAACATTTTCTCCAAAGTGATGAATTGCAATACAGGGGTGTGAATGAAATTAATTAGCTTATGAATGATATCACAATCCTTGCTACAATTATAGAATATAAATGGACAAAACTATACATTTTGAAGAAAAAAAATCAACACTGAATGTGATTGTAATCTCTGCGCTGAAATTTATTCTACGTGTCCAAAATAATTTCAAACATTTTAAAATCAATTTCTGTTTTGAATCGTACTATGGCAGCCAGTAAAGCTGCAGCCCTGCAATCGCTTTCTCATGTTGCTTGATCAAAGCAATTCAAGGCCCTCCATTTAGAAGCAGCTCTAAAGCACTCCCTCGAGAGCAGTGGTTCTGAGAGTGTGGTTCCCAGTAACACCGGGTGGTCGGAGACGGTCCTTCACGTGGGTCCGCGGGGCTGTGAGGCAAACGCAAGTTTGATTTGGACAATAATGACGTTATTGTTCCGGACGTTAATTATTACTTCCCCCCCACCCCTCCTTCCCCCCGCTCCCTCCACTTTATTTCTTTCTCCCTCACCTTCCCATGTAAAAGTGCACGTCTGGAAAAAAAGGTACCACTCAGTGGGGCAGCGAGCTCTAAACTCAGGTGCAGCTGTTCGGGACTAAGTACTAAGATATACGGAGTTTCTGTACCCCCCTCTCCTACATCGCGATTTATGCTATATACTGAGCCCCCATTGAAATACAATCAAAACATTGTAAAATATATATATTTTAGTTACAATATTTAATTTAAAAAACAAGTTAGGTAGGCTACCCTATCCTAACCCAAAGATTAAATGCCGTCCGTCAAAAAAGGTATAGCTGTATTTCAAAAAAAATTGTAATACATTTTAACTACTAGTATTTACAGATAAGTGAATGCGTTTTGACAAGAGAGGTGGGAGGCTGTGTGGTCTGCGGGCCGAAACAGTTTGAGATACACCACTCTAGAGGAAAGTTTGACTGCCTCTTCCATGGAATAGGTGAGAATTTCCACACTTTACCCCATCATACATGGCCTGTTGATTTACTAACTGGTGCATACCCATTTATACTTATGGTTGGACAGAGGCAGGGAGATTTAATAAACATGTCCATTGTGTCAACTGGCGCACCGGGATCTCAAACAACATCTGTATTGCAAGGCCAGGGTGCTAACCATTGCACAATGGAATAATTCCACGATAAACAAGACAATTAACGTTGCAATAGCAGTCCACTGCTATGTCCAGTTGATGTGCCGTGTCTAACTTTGGTGAACTTCCGATAAGCACGGTTGACTACGTATGGTGCAAAATAAGTTCAACATACATTCATCTTTGAAGAAGTTGAAGGGTTATTTTCAACGTAATAATGAAACCGATATATAGGTTCAATCAAAACCTCTTTCCACCTTATTCATATTTCAGAGCACCACACTGTAAAGTATGTCAGTCAATTTCTGCCCTTTCTTAACTCCGACAAAGTAATTGTTTGTAAGGTTCGAATACGGGTTGTGCAAGTTTCAGTACAAGGCCTCAGGAACCACACACAACTGGTGAATTTAACAGTAAATAATACATCTTCACGGTGCGTTTAACACCTACTTAAACACGTTTATTTTCTCTTCTGTTTAGTTTAAATATAGTAAAAAGTTCTCGATGCTATCTGCGCTTCCATCTCAGCTTTTCTGCTGAATATGGCGCGCAACCAATATTAGTTCCATTGATAATAACATTCAGCCAATACATTTCTGAAGGAAGGACTACTCATATCAGTCATAAGATTTTTTTTTACCATACTTGACTATGCTTGTTAAGTGTGACAAGTTGGTGAAGAGGCGCCCAGGACCGGATCTTACTCACCAATGATGTTAGCCATGGTTGGGAATTGAACTCGGGTGTCATGGGTTCACAGCGCAGTGCGCTAACCACTGCACCATTGGTTTATTTAACACATAGACTTGTGCGACCAATATTATCCAACTCTGGCTGTCCTTCTGATCATGCTAGTTGTAATTACTGGTGAAACATCGTACTCGAATTGTAAATATTGTGGGATTACTCTCCAACACACCGGTGTGCTGTACTAGTAACGAATTGGCATGTTTTATTTACAAACAAACCTTACGAATTGGATGTGTCGGGTGGTGGCAGGTTTAATGACACATTTATATTTACGTGATCTCACCCAAAAACCTCTATTGTAGACTTCACCATTGATCTACCCCAACATAATATGCATGTTACGGTATTTAGAGTGAGCACGCATATTTCTCTATGCGATAGTTTTATTTAATTAATTCGGGGGTTTGAAATGCTGATGTATAAGAAAATTACACGCATCTGACATTTCAGGGGATGAAGGTGCGTGCGCATTGTAATTAACCATTTTCATACCTCAATAACAGCCATCAAACATAATAATTCCATTTAAATTAAATATACTTGGAGTAATTTGATATACAGTAGTTTCCTACTCTTTGGTTATTTCGGTAAAGTCACGTAGGTATTACTTTAAGAGCATTTAAGAGCCTACAAAGAACACAACTGCTAATAATAAAATGTTATCACAATCGCAGAGCTGGTAATATTTGCAACTGTAATCTGCTGCAGCTGTGAACAAATATGAAGGTGTTTCGGCTCACATCGTGCCATCCATAGCTATAGCATTGAGTGAAATTTCAATGTTGCTGCTTGTGAACAAATGTCATGGCAGCATTGTCAAGTGTTGTTGCCACGTAAAAGGTACGCTGCTCACAACACCCATTGTCGAGTTCTATTTATCACCTTAATATTTAAATTGAGATGGAACATCTCGTTTTCAAGGGTGGCCATCGTGTCAAGTGCCACACACATAAATAGCAAAAACAATACGTGAACGCACAAAAACATTGATTTTGAATGTCGCAGCTGTGTTGACGAATTAGTGAGGGATAGGTGCAGCCCGCAAGTGCTTGTCAGCAGAATGGCAGTTGTAGCTAGCCGACAGCCCCTTTCGATGGTATTTGGCCTTCTCTTCCACGCTGGCAAAATGTTCCTGGAAGTGGAGGCGTTCCATATTTCATTCTGTCATGCGTGACCTGCCAATTGACTCATAAACTAAATGAGGGGTATTAAACTATCTCCAACACAACTGTCGGCAGTGGCAGAACATGTGTAATGCGAGCAAGGATTGAGGGGGGGGGGCGGAGTCTGGGTCACGTGGGGAGTGGGTGGAGTTAGGGTCACGTGGAAGAGAGGATTTAGGGGGAGAACCGGAACGGGAAAGGGGAGTTGAGACGGAGTGAAACAGGAGGAGGCCACGCTGGGCAGGACGGAGAGAGTGGCGCGGTCGTCACGCGGTAGGAGACGTCGACACCGTCAGCCATCGGTGTCAGACGCAGAGAGCTAGCGGCTGTGGGAGGCTAGCTGTATATGGGGCAGCAGTGAAGCTAGAGAGCGGAGCAGCGGTGTGGCTGCAAGGTGGAGCAGCAGGGAGACTGCCTAACGGAGCAGCAGGGAGACTGCATATCGGAGCAGCAGGGAGACTGCATATCGGAGCAGCCGAGTGGCTGTGGAGAGATCGTCGGGAGAGATGCGGGCCTGAGCGAGGACGCCGTGGTAACGAGATTCTACGAACCCAATGAAGAACAACGGAGATCGACATCTGAGAGAGAGTCCTTTATTACACATGCTTGCCAACAGGGACACTCAATTGATTTTGATAACATTGAAGTTTTGTGTAAAACTAGTTACTACTGGCAAAGACTAATTAGAGAATCCATTGAAATTGAGAGAAACAGAAATAACTTTAACCGCTCAGACAGCTACAGGCGTAGTGCGGCCTGGAAGCGTATTATTAAATAATACATATTACAATTCCTTATAGGGGAAACAAACACTAATTAACTGATTACTAACGTAGCATATAATTCCAATAACACACATTACAACTGATTACTCATCTACAACTAACATCGTAACAATTGCCTGATTACTAATCTAGTACATAATTACAATAACCCCCCCCTCCTCCTCAAATCGTTGCACCTGATGAGTTAAATGATGACGTCACACTGCTGCTGCTCTATTTAAGACCGGGAGCAAGAGCAGAGCCTCACCATTCTGGCGAATTGCCCGATGAGGAGGGCCGCAACGAGCCTGGCTTCCTCTACAGCCCGGTGAGCCGCGACCACTGCTGTGTCTCTCCTGGTGTCGTGCCAAGTCTCGGCTCCCTGGCTGCCTGGCCAGTGGCAGCCTCGTAAGCCCTTGGGGGCATGGCGACCAAGCGTTCTGGGGTGGTGAGCCAAGATGAGCAGGCCAGGTTGCCTGCTGCAGAGGCGGAGGATGGCGAGGTGGGACTGCCTGGAGGAGGGAGACCCGCAGAGGAGAGGGACGGGGCGCGAGCGTCGACCTCGACCGGGAGGCAGGCGGAGGAGGACGCCTGGTGGCAGCGGGCGAGGAAGGGAGAGGAGCCGACGAGGAGTGGAATGGTGTCGGCCAGCCCAGGAGAGGAGGCGGAGGAAGCACCGAGCTCGGCGGGCCTGCAGGCGCAGGGTGCCCAAAGCGACGCTGTCCAGGCAAGTCCTGGACCTGTGGGGGCAGGGCGGCCCCAGGAGCACACAGGGCGGTGGCGCGGAGGACCGGGGGTGAACTTCACCCCGATATACGCCAAGCGGCACAATTGTGTACGGGTGTCCTTCAAGGAGGACGTGCCAGAGGAGGTCACTATCGACAGACTGAGATTCGTGCAGTCTGTGATGATAGAAATTCTGCGAGTGGATCCTGCAGATCTGTTTTGTTTGATAGCCCTGCCGGGTGGCCAGGTTTTTGACGTGAGCTTCAAGACAAGTAACTTGTGGCAACGTTTTATGACTTCGTTCGAGGAGAAGGCGGGGAAACGGCCACTGTCACTGCTTAAGCTCCAACTGCTCTCCGAGCTAGATACAAACATTGTCACCGTGTTTCTGTATAATGAGACTCTGCCAGACCACGACGTCGAGGTGTGGCTGAGGCAGCACTACCTGGTGTTATTTGATGGTAAACGAGTCCAAGACTCTCTAGGGATCTGGACGGGCGCCAGGCAATGGCGAGTGAGGCTGAGAACGGCAGAAGGGGCCCTACAATACATCCCGAGTGCCCTGAACATTGGTGGCAATAGGGGCTACGTGGTATACGCTGGGCAGCCCAAGCTTTGCGAAAGGGTGTGGGGGAAGCAGCCATTTGGCCGCAGCGTGTGAAGCAAAGATATGCTACCGATGTAAGGCGCAGGACCACGTTGTGGCGGAATGTAGCGCCCCGGCATCGTGCAATCTATGCGGGGAAAAGGACCACCTGTATCATATGCCAATAAGGTCTGGGCACATAAGAGCAAGGTGGCGGATGGAGAAGGGGAGGCGGCCGAGGTCTGGCGGAAACAAACACAGCTAGAGGGGACGATGGGGGACGGGAGTAGAGAGGAGGACGGGCTGGGTATGCCGCTGTGGGACGAGAAGGAGGAGGGGGAGATGACGTCGGAGGAAGGCGCAAATCCCATGGGCCGGCAGGCGGAGCACCCCATGGATGAGGACAAGGAGTTCGTGGAAAAGCCCCCCGAACCACCGGTGGTTAGCTGGGCAGAGGCGGTGGAGGTGGGAGAGGAAGGGGAGGAGCAGCAGAGGGCGAGCACCAAGAGGGAGAAACTTACGAGGATAACGAAAAGAAAACGGAGGGCGCCGCGCGCCCAAACAAGGACTACCCCCACACAATGCCCAGAACGTCGTGCTCCTCGACAGATACGAGGACGTCAGAAGATGGTGCCATGGCGGCTAAGATCAACCAGGGAAGAGGGCTGCCCAAGGAGCTTAGGAGAGCAGAACAGTTGCAGGGATTGGCTGATAAAAACTTGTACAAACTATTGGACGACGTGTCTGGGTAGGGAGAGGCAATTCTGAGTATGGACCTCACCATAGCATCGGTAAACGTGAGGAGAATGTGGGGCAATGCTAGGAGAGGGGCCATTCTACATTACCTACGGTCCCTGAAAAAGGACGTTTACTTTTTACAGGAGTGCCACTTGCCATACTCCCTTGGTCGAGAGGAGCTGGCTAGGGACTGGGAGGGACACTGCTTCTGGTCCGGAAGTAATGTTAATAGGTGCTCAGGAGTGGTCATCCTCCTAGGTAGAAAGAACGTAGAGGTGCAGGAGGCCCGAGAAGTGGTCCCGGGACGACTCCACTATGTCGATGTTTCATATGATGGGGCGGTGGTCCGGCTGATCAACGTGTATGTCCCCAGATGCTCTCTGGAACGTGTGGAGTTACTAGAGAATGTGGCAGCCTTGCTGCTAACACGAAGGCACATCGTCATGGGGGGCGATTTTAATTGTCCTCTATCCCTGTCGGACACGCTGCCAGTCACCGGAAGTCGAAGGTTGGACCCCTCCTCTAGGAGGCTGTGGGCTTTGGTTAGAGATTTTGATTTGAATGACTCTTACCGGTCATTACACCCAAAGCGACCAGGGTTCATGTGATCTAGTTGTTTGGGAACCTCACACTCGAGGATTGATTTCCTCTTTGTCTCTGCCAAGGTTAAGACGGAGACGGTGGAAAACGAACCCTTCTCATTTTCCGACCATAAAATAATAGCTGGGAGGTTGGGAAGGGGAATCTGGCGCATGAACACGGGACTGCTGGAGGACAAAAAGGTGGTGGAAGAATTCGTCAGGCAGTACGAGGAATGGAGGGAGCCTGCGGTGCTGCTTTGGCACTATAGCCGAATGGTGGGGAATGGTGAAGGGGCGAATTAAGACCTTTTTCCAGACCCAGAGCAGAAGGAGGAGCGTAAAGGGTGCGTTGCGGGGATTGAATGAGAGATTGGAAGGAGCATATAAACTGATGGAACTGGGATTTCCCATCATGGGAGAAATAAAGCAACTAAAAGATAGGATCTCTGCGTTGTTGGAGAAGCAGGCCGCGCAGCTCGCTTTCAGGGCACGGGTGAAGGCGGTCGAGGAGGGTGAGCGATGCACGCATTTTTTCTTTAAGAAATGCAGGAAAGCGGACAACACAGTCCGAGAATTGGTATGCCCCAGATTAGGTAGACTCAAGCACACAGATGAGATAGTGGAGGCCGTCAGGGGTTACTTCAAGGAATTGTACAGGAGTAGGCCGTCAGACGAGGGGGCACGGAGCACATTGCTAGGGGAGGTAGATAGGGTTATTGGGACTCCAGAGGAGATGAACAAGCATATCCAGACGGCAGAATTGGATGAGGCGGTGGGGGGATTACGTCGGCACAGAGCACCGGGCGAAGACGGGATACCGGCCGAATTCTATGTTACGTTTTGGAATACCATCAGGGACGACATGTGGCAGATGTATAAGGAAATTACGGAGGAAGGCCCTGTGCCAGATTCAATCACAAGAGGGGTCATAACCCTTGTATACAAGGAGAAGGGGGAGCGCAGTGACCTCGGGAGCTGGCGCCCGATCACCCTGCTGAACACCCATTATAAAATCCTGGCCAAGGTTATCGTGGTGCGGCTGGGGAAGGTGGTGGGGGAGGTGGTTCGGTCTGACCATAAGTGTGCGGTTCCGGGCAGGCGGATATCTGATAACCTCGTCCTGTAGAGGGAGGTGGTGGAAACCACAGTGGAGAGGGGTAGCGTATTGGGACTACTCAGTTTAGATCAGGAGAAGGCATTTGATAGCATCTCGCACGATTATTTGTTCGCAGTTTTGAGGCGAATGGGGGTGGGGAAACAGCGTATTGACTGGATAAGGAAACTATATCATACGCTTACAGGCAGCCTGCTAATAAATGGAGTCCTCTCGGAAGGGTTCCCAATTGGGTCCGGTGTGCGGCAGGGGTGTCCGATGTCACCTGTGTTATTCATAATGTGCATGGAGCCTTTTGCCTAGGCTGTCAGGGGAAGTCTGCTGGTTAGAGGGGTGAGCATGCCAGGGTGTACGGAACCAGCAAAAATTGCCATGTATATGGACGATGTTGTCATTTTCTGTGGGGATGTCGCTTCGGTATGGGAGGCCCTAGGACTCGCGGATAGATTATTTTTGGCCTCAGGGTTAAAGGTGAATGTAAGAAAAAGTGAGATGCTGATATTCGGTGACCCCAGGTTATTCGAGGGCCGCCCGCCAGGTATAACAGTACTGGTGGAGGGGATCAAAATCTTAGGAGTCACATTCTATAGGGAGGACTCTGCGACAAAGAATTGGAAGGGAAAAGAGAGCATGGTGAGGGGCAGGCTGGCTGGTTGGGCAGACATGTGCCTTTCAATGGAAGGTAGAATGTTGGTCTTGAGGGTGGAAATCCTCCCGGTACTTATCTACCTGGCCTACGTGTTCCCGCCGGGCGCGCAAATGGCAAAAAGGATGGAACGCCTGTTCTTCAGGTTCATCTGGGGGGGAGGGATGGACCGAGTGAAAAGAGAAACAATGTACAAACGTACCGAGAATAGTGGGAAGGGGGCCCCGAATGTCGCGTGCATCCTTGACATGATTTTGTCTGTGATACGCTGTGCCTATATTTCTCCAATGGCCTCCAGGTGAAAGCCTCGTATTATGTACAGTACAGACTGGCGTGGCTCCTGAGGCGGCTAGGCATGGCATCGTTGCCGTGCGGCACCCCCCTGGCTTGGCCTCAGGGGTGGTTGTGCACCGCAGTGAACGAATACATTACGAAGTATGAGCCGGGCCAGACACGGGGGTCGTGGGTTCCCAGGGAAGTCCTGGCGGAAATGTCTAAAAAGGAGGTCTGTACAGAAGTGCCAGGTGCTCGGGGTACCCGGCACCGACAAATTTGGAAAAATGTAACATCGGCAGCCCTGACGAAAAGGCAGCGGGACTTATCCTGGCTGGCCGCATGGGACAGGCTGGAATGCAGACTATTTATGTGTTCCCGCAGATTGGCCCACTCTCCTGATTGCCTGAGAGGCTGCGGCCTGGGAGAGAGCGCTGCTCATGCCCTCATACAGTGCCCATTTGCTCAGGAGGTGTGGGAGTTATGTCGACCCTGCTGTCCCATTTTTGCCCCGTAAAGACCACAGCGCCTAATATAATTTGGGGGATGTTCAGACAGAGGGCGGGTGAGGTCTGGGCTCAGGCATGGGCCGTCATAGGCACCAGAAAAGAGGCCCTGTGGACGGCGCACCAGAAGCTGATTAAGGGTATCTATATGTTGCCTCCCGAGGTATACCGCCTAGCCAGGGGGCTGTTAGAAAGGGTGGTGGAGGTGGAGCGGGAGACAATGGGCAGAGAGGCCACAAACGCGAAATGAAGATGGCCGCCAACTCCGGGTGGCATAGGTTGAATTGTGCTGGTTGAGAATGCCCTTCGCCGTGGAGGATGGGTGAATGAATATATCCTCCTTCGCGACGCTGAGCACTTTTTTTACCTTTTTGCTTAAAGGGTGCGTAGGATGGGGAGTTCTATCGCGACGTATTCTGTGCATTTGTAAGGGCGCTGGTTGTTACAAGGATCCCCTGTTTTCGGGTTATGGTCATGCGGTCTCCTGTTTTTCATGTTATTTTTGGCTGTTCAAGGTAGTGGTCTACCAATGATTGAGAAATGAAGGAATTTTAAACAGCCCTGGGCCCTTGCGGTGTGTCGGATGGGAAGTTCTATCGCCTCATACTCCGTGCTACTGCAGTAAGGGCACTGTTTGTTACAAAAGGATCCCCTGTTTCGGGTTGTGGTCATGCATTTTCCTGGCTTGTCAAGGGAGACACCAGGAGCACTTAGGTGATCCTTCCAGCCCGTCCGGACCTCAAGTTGCTATCGCCACGGCGATCACCCGCGAGACGTAACTACCAGCTCCGAAGCCTGCGAGGGCCCTGGCCGTGAGGCCAGGGATGACCACGCTACCAAGAGGCTGGGACTGCTGGAGCATCGAGATGGAAGTCGCAGAAGACGAGGAGGGGACATGGCGAGAGTCGAGGGCCACGGGTGCCACCCGAGTTGCCGAGAGAGACCGGGCCGACCGAGCTGCCCAGCTAGCGGTCGCAACAGACAAAAAGGAGGCAGGGCGAGCGGCAAGAGCAATGGACACCACCTGCACTGCTGAGGGAGCCCGGGACGACCGAGTTGGCCAGATGGCGATTGCAGGAGGCAAGATGGAGATGCGGAGAGAGCAGAGAGCCACCGACACCACCTGTGGGGCCGGGGGGGACTGGAGCAACCAGGCTGACCTGCCGGCAGCAGGGGGAGGTGAGAGGGAGGCACAGCAAGGGGTTGAGAGGAGGGTG